TGGCTTCTCTTGGCGTGAACAATATTTTGACATTTGTATTTGGAGTTAATATTTTCATCAAAAACTCAAGGAATGGAGATATTAAAAAAGTTTTTAAAAGTTTTTACCAGACTCACTTTTTAATATCAAAAAATTACACTAATATATTTTTTATAATCAATTTTAGTTACAAATAATACATTTTTATAATCAAACTTAGTTGCAGATTAAATTTCATGTGCTTTGCACTTTGAAAAAAGTAGGCGTTAATACCTATTAATAACTTAGGAGGTTTTTGAACAGTTCATTTTACGATTTTTATTGAAGAAAAAATATTTTAACACTAGGGTAGTTTAACACATCATAATCTAAAGCTTTTCTTTTCGAAAGAGCTCAGCAGGATTATAAAAATATACTTAAATACATTAATAAAAGTTTGAGATGCGTTCATCCCTTTCTTTTTTTAAAAATTAAGTCATTAATTTAACATACATTCTTTTCAGAACTATTGCAAAATTTTTAATCTTGTGAAAGCTAATATAATTAAATCTAAAAAGTTGTTTAAGCTAATAAAATAACTAGTGGAAAGGTTATTCAACTATGATTTATCAAGGGAAAAAACGAAAGTACATGATATGAGAATTAATATTTTTATATTTATAGTTATATATTTATAGTTATATATATATAATAACTCACATTAGTTACTTATTCTTTTAATAATTGAATTTTGAATAAATTGAAGGATTACAGACTTTTTATAAATTTATCTATGTCATTTAAGTTTCATTACTTCTCATCGACTGGTATTTAATTTTTTTTATACAGATTAAATGTCTTATAAACTAAAATAATTTATTATTGCTTTAATGAGTAATTATTTAAATACTTAAAATAGACAGTTTTATGATAGATTTATTTGATTTTTTTAATGTATAATGGAGTTCGACTTTTTAAAATATAGTATTTTTTTTAACTTTATCTGCCAATGTCCCAAGTTTTTCTTAATATTATAATTTACTTAAATTTTTGCGGAACAACAAATATATTTTACTAATTTTAATCAGGCCATAGTGGCCTGATTAAAACTGTGCTCTCAGACAGTACAGCGTATTCTTATTGAAAAGTATTGTATTCGTATCACAGAGTATTCACACTTTATTTTTCTTTGTTGCTTGAATAGTGGTAACTAAAAATTGGTGAACATTTAGAAACAAACAGTTTTGAATTCCTAGTGGTTTGTAATATTTCTGAATTTAGTGTCTTTATAAAAATTCGGGACTGGCAACATCTGCATCGAAAAAGGTTATAAGTCTTTTAATTGGAAACACAATTTAAAAGTTATTTTTCAGAAGAAGAATCCTACTTAATAAAAAAAAATTGTTTTGTAAAGAATATATTTATGGTTCGCCAAACAGAACTTTACATAAAAGTATTCATGCTTGTATTGGCGACAGTATCAGTAACCCTATGCCGTACTCTTAACATTAATGGGTTTTAGAGAAGCGCAGGGGAAAAACAACTTTAAAGGCGGAAGAGAGTAAAAGATGGTAGCGGGGGTCGAGTTGGGGCAAAACGCTTTGACACCAATGCCCGTGCCCTGCAGTCTCAAAAAGTCTTGGCAGTAAAAGTATCACGCTCTATATTCTGGGAGAGCTATAGCTAATCTTATCCACGGCTATGCATTCAGAGCTCATAATCTTTTTAAATCAATTCGAATATTCGACTCTGAATTTTCGAACGGAATATGGCGTTTTTCTGTTTTCAAAATCTTATTATGCAAAGTGGAAAATGAGCTTTAGATTTCGGCTCCGCTCAGAGACGCTCTTTACCACCCCTTTTCTCCTCCCCATTTTTGCCTTGGAGTGATTTTTCTCGGAGAGTCGTTGAAAGTGTTATCGATATAGTTTATATGATATCGATATAAGGAAAAATTTGAAGTAAATATATCGGTTCTATAACGCGAAGCAAATGCTGTTAACAGAATTGTTTGGAGATATATTTATAAAAGCATTTTGGTATATATTTATTTTAAAACCAATTTTGTATGAAAAATTGAATAAGGAATATCATTTCACGCTAAGTATATGATATTATGAGTAACATCTAAAGTTGTTAAATGTAACATGAGTTAAAGAAGAGTCTTCATTGGATTTATTGAAAAAGGTGAGAAATGTATCAAATAAGAAATAACGTAAATCCAATTTCTTTTATTCTGTAGTGCCCTAATTTAATTTTGCAATTTATCTAAATAAATTGTAATAAAATATTTACAGAGATATAATTAAATTTAAAAAAATAATCCTGCATAAAAATAAGCATAAAACAAATAAAATGATTTGATTTTCATATTTAATTTGAAAGAAGTTTATCACTTTATACTTCAATTGAATTCATAGTCAGGTTTCAAACTCAATTTTTTTAAAAAAATATATATAGATAGTAAAAAAAAATTAAAATTTATCTAAAGAAAATAAATATATATTTAAAAGTATAATATTCAAAACAATTTATTTATTTATTGCTGATTTTTAAAAATATGAAAGTGTAGGTGAGGCATTTAAATGTTTTTTTTAGGAATATTTTCAGAAAAGTATAAAAAAAATTGTTATAATTATTCATGAGTCTTAAACTTTTATAACTGCTCTGACTATCCCAAATGTATTTTTAGTACAACTAAGATAAAATTATAAATTAGTTAATTATTATTATTATTATTATTATTTACCTTAAATCATTAATTATCGAAATTGCATGTTATTATTTGTAGGTAGTAAAATTGATATTTATTTAACTTCGTTATAGATTTGCCATTAAGATTTACTATGAATTAAGATTTACCATGATTTAGGTCGAAATGTCAATGAAGAAAATTCATTTAATAAATATAAGCTATTTTAAGTTTTATAGAATAAATTATATTAAAAAATAAGATGAATACCCGTTCTTGAATGAAGTGAAAAAAGTAAATGATCAATGAATCAGAATAAATCATCTCTATAAGAAAANCTGAATATTGTAGATGCTAGTTATAGATGTACTTCAATAAATGCTGGTTTTTTGGTTATGTTTAGGTCGAAATGTCAATGAAGAAAATTCATTTAATAAATGTAAGCTATTTTAAGTTTTATAGAATAAATTATATTAAAAAATAAGATGAATACCCGTTCTTGAATGAAGTGAAAAAAGTAAATGATCAATGAATCAGAATAAATCATCTCTATAAGAAAAGTTTCATTAAAAAATAAGATGAATACCCGTTCTTGAATGCAGTGAAAAAAAGTAAACGATCAATGAATCAGTATAAATCAGCTCTATCGAATAAATTTTATTAAAAAATAAGATGAATACCCGTTCTTGAATGCAGTGAAAAAAGTAAATGATCAATGAATCAGTATAAATCAGCTCTATAGAATAAATTTTATTAAGAAATAAGATGAATTCCCGTTCTTGAATGTAGTGAAAAAAGTAAATGATCAATGAATCAGTATAAATCAGCTCTATAGAAAAAGTTTTATTAAAAAATAAGATGAATACCCGTTCTTGAATGTAGTGAAAAAAGTAAATGACCAATGAATCAGTGTAAATCAACACTACGAAATCACGCAGAAAACTGAAAGAATTATACCAGAAAAATTACCATAATCAACAATTTTCTCCTGTGAAAATCTCCTTCAGTGGGCCATAAGAGCCTTTTTACCAATATCAATATATTTAGTAATTTAAAATCACAATTCAATATAATAAAAGTAATACCCGATACTAAAATTAATTGAGCATTATTGGTGCCAATAATAATAATAATGATTAAATTCTTATTTAGCAATTAGATATTTAATCTTTAGATAAACATTAGATCTAGCAATTTAGATCTTTAGTTCAAAATTTTTTTTTTCTTTTCAATTTGTAATGATTACCAAAAGTTGTTAGGCATCGTTGGCGTAAATAACACGAAGGCAATATTTTACCGTTTATTTACACGAATGAGAATATTAATTGCATATTTCACCACATATTGATAACTTTGCATGCAAAATGTAAAGTTTTCGCTCACAATTTTAAAATTCGTTTGTCTAAATATAATTCCATGCAAAAAATGCCTTTTAATAAATATTTATAAGTTTTATTATTTTATTTACATTTATTTTTATTAAATTTTGAACAGTAATATATAAAATTTTTTGCATCATCTAAAAGAATGTAATTTCACATGGAAAGATACAAATTGTGAGCAAAATAGGTTGAATAGTGCCTGAGAAATTGAATTTTAAAGAAACCGTATTCCTAAAATTCGATTTCTCCGGAACTATTCGACCGATTTAGCTCAAATTTTGCATTTTGCTACAGAAAATTACATTCTTTAAATTGATGTAATATATTGTATGCCAAAATTTTTCAACCATTTTTAAGTAAAATAATAAACAATAATTGATATTTACTTAAAGTTATATTTTGCACGGAATTACTTTTCGATAAGCGAATTTTATAATTGTGTGCAAAATTATTTTAATTTCACTTTAACAGTTCTGAAGATATGGCGAAATAAACAAAAAATATAATTAATATTAACGGATCCAAACTTTGGACCGCTATCCTGACCAAACTAAGGAGACTATATTTCCCAAATTGCCATAACCCTCTATATTTTGGGTGACAGAAATCCGAATCCGTCGAAGAAAAGGTATGTTTATTCAGAGAAAGTCGTTTTTGTGTCTGATTTCATAACTTAAAGTACCGTCTGCACTTATTAATTAGCATATTTGAGGTCACCCCCTTAAGCCAATAAGATTGATTCCTAGAACGTGAAGATCCGAGAATATGTAGAAAAAGTTACGGAAATACGAATAAGTGTTGTTCTCAACGAGAGAAGCATTGTGAAATGAAACTACTTTTATTCCATTTCATTGGATGGAAAATTCGCTATAAATTGATAAAAATTAGTTTGAATTTTCTAAAAGAGTGGTACTCTGTTATCGTTATTTTACTTTTATTAGCACATTACCCAAATATGTCCAAGCACAATGGTAGTTCTTCAGGGATCTATTTTTAACGGCCATGGTAGGATTGCCACGTAATTTTGACTCCTTTCAGACGACACGGACAGTGCCTGAGTTGGCACACCTTTCCCCAAACTTCACCCCGTAACCAATCAGAGGACTTTCAGCCACGACTGATTTAACATGCATCTTGCTGTTTATAAACACCGCTGGATTGAATTCTAGACCCCCAGTTCGCTATTTGTGGATTGAACGGAGGCTTTATCTACTACACCACCTTAGTGCTTATTTTTATCAGCAAATTTGAGTCTTTTTATCTTTTGCATCATTTATGAAAAGCATATTCTGATAAGTACATTTTGTGTTATCACTTGCAAATAATTTCTAAATTTGCACCAGTGTTTTTCCTTTTGAATTTTTTATTTATACATCTTTTCAGTTTACTTTTTCCCTTGCTCAAATTACTTGTATATTTTAGCAGCAAATATGATTTCATGAACATAAAATTGTAGAAACTGTTGTTTATGCACTCCTACTACGGATATTTGCTTGTATTAAGAAAAACTCGCCGAATTTTTCAATTAGAATTTTGATTAAATGGTGGACTTTAAAAAAATTAGCTCCAGATTTAGTCACTCATTCTTTCTGTTTATTCATTCGCTATATAATAATTCACACGTAGTTCGGAAAATTAAATAAATAAAAAAAACAATAGTGACGAATAATTAAACGATTCTCAACTTACATTAAATGAATTTTTTTCCAGCACGTAATCTTTCTATTCGGACTTTCTGACTTAGTTACTGTAGAGCTCCTTATTCAATTGAAAATGTTTAATTTATACTATCGAAATATCCTAAAACACTCTTTTAAACTCTATACTCATTTTAATATCTCTGATATATCTTTATACATTTCTATGCTTACATTCATCATTTAATTTTGTAACATGATAAATATTACTATAAACAAAGAAAAAATATATATTGATAATTTATCGAAAAAAATTATCTGGTAAAAAAAAATTTCATTAGAAGCAAAAAAGTAAATAAAAAATTTTTTGCTTTTATTCTTCTATTAGTTAAGAAGGATAAATGCTGTATGTCAAGCCTTATTGTATTCCATATCGGAATAAATTTGGAAACAAGAAAAATAGTGGGAAGGTAAACTGATTGAGTCAAAAAGAAAATTATTTTAGGTTCTAAAAAACAATGTATTGGGTTTCCTTTCACGAAATTCTATGAGAAAAAATTTCTATACATTTTATAGAATTAAAGCAAGTAGATAACCGATTAAGAAAGTCACAAATTCATTTGACAATGATGAAAAAAAGAAACGACAAAATAGTTGTCTGCCTTGTAGCTAAGCTTTTTACCACATCAAGGCGCTGTATATATTTTGGCTAAAAACTTTAGCATTCACCCGCGACAATCATTAGAGAGAAAATTCTTCGACATTTTGCAGTGCATTTTTGCCTTTTTCACCGAAAGAGGAAAAAAACTTTTTGCAAGAAAGTATTAGCTATACTTGTTTTGTTGATATCTGATTGTTATCTGAATATTGTAGATGCTAGTTATGGATACCAAAGTGAACTTCACGATGAAAGCTTTATGCGCCGAAAACAACGAAGAAATCGAACAACATTCTCTGTTCAACAGGTTAGCTGATTTTATGTATTATATATCATAAAATTTTTGTATTATTATGCATACATTTTATACTTTATATATCATTAAGATTATCATTATTACTATTCATTATTATTATGCATTATCATTAATATCATTTTTAACTAAGATCTTTAATTATCTAAATTGCAGGTTGTAGAAAAGTTATTTGATATATATATTTAACTTCATTTATTTTAAATGTTTTCTATCATGATGTTTATAAATGTAGGTTTGATCGAATGCATGTTTTTAAGGAATCTATAAGTATTAGTGTTTGCAAGAAAATTTTTGGAGTTGTAAGTACATTGTAAAACATTCCCAAAGAAACTACTGCACAAAGTACAAGCACTTTGGATGCATCATTAATAAAATCCGCTTTTGCGTAAAATATTACACCGTAATTTTTATTGTAATATTTAATTAGAGTGATTCAGAGGTTTTACTGTAATTATTACTTTACTATTACGGTTTATTAGATTTTTCATTCTTTAACATGTTCTGGTAAAAATTGATTTTACGGTAAAAAGTACAGGGGCCCTGAATGCCGAGACATTTCACCGTAATTTGATCTAGAATATCTTACAATGTAAGCAAAGTTTTTTGTGATTTGAATTATTTTGATGTAAAATTTGCTTTTGGTATTGGGGCGCTTCTCAAATGGTGAGAATATTAGCGTTAACAGTAGCTGATTCTAAATCTTCTTGACATTTATATGCTAGTTGCGCTTAATATTCCCCACTTATGCAATATGCTTTCCTAGATAAATCAAATTAACCTATAACTTTCTTCATCGAATTTTAAGACATCAGATTATCTTAAGTAATAAATTTGTGAGAAAAATTATTGACTTTGTGTGCATTACATCTTTTGGACAATCCTGTTTTTCATGTACTTTGGCACTTTTTTACAGTAATAATTCATAAAAGCATAAAAATACTTGAATCTTTGAAAAATTATTTTAAAGTAACTTTTACAGCTATTACCATAAAATCATTGTATCACTGTAATTTAATAAATACTACTATAAAAATAACGGTATAATATTTTACGGTAAATTTGCTTTTACGGGTGGTGCACACAAAGCGTCGGTATTACTCAAAATACGTCGGTATTACTCAAATTTACTCAAATTTTTTTTATTGTTAATTGATTTTAAACTTAATTGTTAACAGAGCTTAAAGTTTAGTTCTGTGTTATGATCTTACGTTTTAAGAACTGTCCATTGCATTGCGTATCTTAGTTCACGTGGAACATATTTTATTTAGAATGGACAGATTTTATTTAAGATGAACATACTTTATTTAAATTAAGTTTTGTCTTAACTCCAGGTACGATTGAAAAAGACAAAGAAATTGTTTTAGATACATTTTATTTGAGTTTTTTGGAGATGTGTAATTTTACTCGTATGTTAATAATTTAATTATCTTTAAGCCACTTTTCGAAAAGTGATATTGAAGAAAATTGTTCGAGTTTTGCATCATGTCAACACGTTAGGGGATTTTGATTAGAGAAAAGCACGATTAAAACTTAAATGTCAGTGATTTTAATTTTAACGTGTTTACTTTATATAAACTAAAAAAAATAGAAATGTTTTTATACATGTTTTAATGGTTGATTTAAATATAGCGTTTATCTTTCAACGCAATACTGTTACAATAGATAAAAACATTACTGCATGCTCTGCTCTGTAAAATATTCCGAATGAAATTAATTTAAAAAGTACCATCACCCAGGGTGTCAGTACTTTTTAAAGTTTATTTTTACGAAACCTGTTACGAACACGAAATCTGACAAACCGTAATATTTACAATAATAATCACTGAATCACTTTAATTTGAAATATTACTGTAAAATTTATGGTACAATATTTTACGGTAGAAATAAATTCTATACTTTAAATTTGCTTTTACGGACGATGCACTCAAAGTGCCAGTACTCCATACTGTAATTTAATCTGGAATTTTTTACAGTGCACATGTATGCGACAGTACATTTTTATTTTCTAAAATATATACCAATATTATTTAGATTGCTATAATGGCTTAAATAAGTAGTTCTCAACTGCTGCCATGACACCCTTTATACCGAAAAAGTCGGAGATGTGGCCAGGGCTGTACTCCATGCCTTCGGTCCCATTTGACTTGTACTTTAACTTTTCTGCACTTGTCAAACGACAACAACAACAAATAAGTAGTTACAAAGAGATACATATTAAAATAGTTTGGGATATATGATATATGTACAGTAATACATGTATATAATATATGTATATTATATATGATATATGTATATTAGTTTTAAAAATGTCTAAATTGAAAACGACATAACTGCAATTCAATACATTTATTTTGCTATAATGTTTGTGAATAATAATTTAATATATTTAAATTAAGATATTTTTCAAAAAAATTTTATTACTATAGAGCATCTATTAATTTTCTTTTTAATTACTTCTAAAAATAATACTTTGCGAACTGTCAGAAAATTTTAACACTTCCATGTCATGCTCTGGGAAAAACTACATGATTTGAAAAAATTGATTACACTGGGGAGCATTTTTTGTTTTGTTTTCTGTCGCATGAAATTTTTTTAACAGATCTTAGATACGTTCGTATAGCAGCTTTCAAATCTGTAATCGGTTTCTGTCTTAGAACTACAGATTTTTTTGAAAATGACATTCTTAGTACAGTTTTTGTCAAATATACAAGTTTAAAAACGTTATTCACAACAAGGAAGGGAGTGTAAATGTTCAACACAAACTTCTTGGGGAGTTAAAGCACGTCATCTGGATTAAAATTGCATAAATATCATTATTGGATATTTATTTTTTTGTGTGCTTCTGAACATTTCGTAACAGGGGAGTGCTCCCAGCCGTGCACGACGACAATTATCGCTTAATTTCGATCTTGGTGATGCGTCCTAACTCTCTTAGAAGTTTACGGCAACATTTACGGGACTCCCTGTTAAATATGAGGTTTTTAAACCTGTAAATTTTGACAAAAAATAGAAGAATTAAAATTTCATTTTAAAAAATCTGTTATTTTAGAACTAACTTTATATTTGAAGTCCTCACACCTAAATTAGGCAAGATCAAGTATTTGTATAAATGAAAAGTATTTGTTTCTCAGTGTTAATTACTCATTTTATTTCACATAAATTTTTTTATTATTATTGAAAGTTATATTTATTATTTTTGTTTTAAAACGTTTTTAGTTGGAGGAGTTAGAAAAAGCATTTGCTCAAACTCACTACCCCGATGTCTTTACTCGAGAAGACTTGGCTATGAAAATTAACTTAACGGAAGCAAGAGTTCAGGTAATCTATATGCATCAATATATTTCTGATGTAAAAGTAATTTAAATTATTTGAAAGTGTTTCACGTTAGAAAGGCAGAACATTACTGTATATCTAGAAATTCTGAAGGAGCTAGTGCGGTCTTTTCCAGATTGTCTGTGTGTAAATTATTTAGACAATCCAAAATCTCAAAATAAAATCATAAATAATTTGATAACAATGTATTAACGACTTGATCATTAAAACTCTATGGTATTTGATTCGATTTGGATTAACGAAAATATTTGATTAACGGAACACTGAATTTTCAATTATATAGTGAAACCTCTCGGAAGAGACCACTTTCTGTCTCTCGGTAAAATGGTCTTTAAAGGAGGTTGGTCGTTTTTAGGGTTTACCTCCATTGACTGCAAAATGTTATCGAAGGCACATAAATTTTTTGCAAGCGATTTTATTTTTTCACAGCGTCATTCTCTTGGAGAGAAAAAGCCACTTGTATTGGCGTCGTGAAAACCGGATCCAAGAATAAAATTTAGCCTTAATAGAAATAATATTGATATAATTGCATGTAAAGACAAATTTTCCAATTATGAATGATAGAAATATTTTAAATAAATAAACAATTCTTTTTTTTTCATTTAATTTTAATTTTATATTATCAAAGTAAGTTTACTTTAAAAAATTGGAAGTTCGTTTGTTTGAGATGCGACTTTAAATTAACTTTTTCTAAATTTAACTTCTAACTCTAAAACTAAGTCACTGATAGCATTGTGATCTTCAGTGTGACTGTAACATCAAGTTGTCAATCTTTTTCAGCAATCGTCAAAAAGAGCTCTCTAAATAAGAGCCACTCAGAAATATTTTGAATACATTTGAATCTAATTTGTTTTGTCAATATCTTTTATTTTGATATTTTTTCGTGCTTCCCTGTTTGCCCGCTCGCTGGCAGAGATTTTGATGGTTTCTTCAACACAAAGCCTGTGGAAAAATTTACGTGGTCCCAAAAGTAGTCATAAGTAGAGGAAATCGCCACACAGAGATAATCTTTCCTGGAGATTTCTACATCAGTTTCTGAAATAATTTAGTTCCATTTTCACAGTAAATAATAATTATAGATAAGTTGAAATACTCATGTTTCTTTCAATAAAACTGGGGTATCTCATGCCTACCAAAGGGTATCTTATACCCAAATCTATCTAGAATTTGAGGATATCTACCAAAATATCTTAGGGGACACTCTGGCCCCTCCCGTTGCTCTAGATCAGGGGCTTCCAACTTACATGAGGACGGGGGCCACAATTAAAAACACCAGTCAAATGGCGAACTGCAACTTTATCAAAATTGTATAACGGACTCTTTTATGTTTGAAGGAACATTAAATACTACTGTCTGATTTTTATCAAGTTGTACAAAACAGAAGTATTGAATTACAAATTAAAATAAGTAGATTATTACCTAAGAAATTTTTTTTTGCACCGTTGGTATGTTACATTTCACAGAAACGAAGAAATTGTTTTTTTTTTTTAACGAAGAAATTGTTTTTTTAACGAAGAAAAGTGCTTTAAACCCAAATAGATTTTTTACAAAAATTGCCCGCAAAAAAAATGACAACTAATATATTTTAGTTCCCTGGCCACAAAAAGGGCTTCGAGGGCCGGATGTGGCCCGCCGGCAGCCGGTTGGCAACTACTGCTCTAGATATAAGATTCTATGAATACTTTTCTCTAAGGCTAACCCATGAATGATTAAATAAACACTTAAATTGGATCAAATTATGAAAAGTCAGAACTACTCGATACTTTCAGCAAATAATTTTTTGAATTACAAAGCAGCAGAAAGAGTGGTCAAAAGTCCCTACCTGTCTCTCCAGTGTTAAATTTAATTAATGCAACATTAAAAATATTAATATTCTAGTCATAAGAATGAGTGCAATTATGAAAAATGCAATCATGACGAACATAAAAGTCCTGTAAATGTTTATTATGAGAAAACTTTAAAATAAGCACCGGTGAAAAGAAAATGAAAAGCAGTTTTGCTTACTTATTGGCATCCATTAGTTCTGGACATTTTTTTGTAACACTTCTTCATAATTCTGCTTCGTTTTTTTTACAGTTTACATTTCGTTTTTTTTATCCATTAAAGAATTTAGCAAAAATATTTAATTAAGCATTAAAGAATTTAGCAAAAATATTTAATTAAGCTTTAAAGAATTTAGCAAAAATATTTAATTAAGCATTAAAGAATTTAGCAAAAATATTTATATATTTAAAAACTACAGAAAATTTCATCATATTTGGTACCTCACTCAAAATATTCGATAATTACTTTTATGAATTTAAATATTTTTTTTTTCTTTCACTAATTGTCTTATAGTAAAACATAAGTAAATAACAATTTTTATTCTTTCGATTCATGCATTGTAGTTGTTGTCGTGATATTTAAATGGGTAAACATTCCAGCGAGAATATTTTTTCTAATGGTTTAAGACTTCATCGCAAGTAATTTCTTCATTTTAATTATTTTTATAATACATGGTTAAGATACGGTTCTAGGTAATTCTTGCTTAGATACTAAAACTACTCATGAATACACCCTTCACTTATTTGGATATTTTACAAAAACTGCAGCTATTTAGTAATGCTTAAAGTTAGCTTTTGGCAATATTAGTAAAAAGTTTTGTAAAATTACCGTCCTGTATGGTCATGACATTTCTAGCAACAATAACAAAAAAATTGCTCTAGTTAATAAAACCAAAATATACGATATTTAAACCATACATTTGATAATTATTCCGTTCATATGTAAATAGTTAACCTGAAATTCTGATTTTCAAAATTATAGATCTGCTTTTCATACACTTAGCAAAAAATACAAAGGTGAGAAGTTAATTTAACCGAGTAAATGGTTTTTATGCCATTTTCTAATGCATCATGATAAACTTACCTCATTTGCTAAATTTTATCACATGATACCATATTAATTTTGCCAAAGTTATTTCCAAAGCGTTTCTGCAAAAATTACCCAGCTTTTTGGTGTTCCCATAGAGCCAGAAACACCATAAATGTTACCATATTCCGTTAGTTCTTCTGTTCCATACATTTTTTTCTCAGCGAAAACAAGTGAAGATAGCAACTTTCTCTATTTGACGAAATGCCTATTTGATGCATTTCCCAGGAAATAATTTCGTCAAAAACGAAGAAATTTTGACAATAATTTTTCTCTCATTGTTGATAGATCAAACGATCTATAATAACTAATTTCGGCACTTTAAATTGAAAGCAATGTAACCTATGAATTTGTAGTAAGGTAAAGCATTCCCCAGATAGCTTCTTGTGGACCAGGGGGTGATGGTTAAGGCTCCACAATTTCGTGACAATCGGAATGATTGGGGCAATGCGATCAGCATTGCGCACAGGCCACTTTCACTTCCCTGACAAGCTGTTATCCATTGGTCTAGGTAGGGTTCATTGGATCTGGGTAGGCTTCAAGTCTCCACTGGGGATAGAACCCCAGTTCCTTACAAAAATATTTAAGTCCTTTAAACCCCAGAACCATTGCGTCTCATACATTTGTAGACTAAGGGGAATTATTATTAATGGAAAGATAAAGTGGAATATGATTTTCGGATCTCTAAGCAAATAGAAGCGGATCAAATTTAGTAAAGTTGCAGTTTAATGCAACAATATAAGCACGGAATAGTTAAAAATTAGTTTAATGCGTCAAATTACTCACAACATAATAGTATACAAATCTCTATCAAAATAAAAATAAAAAGATAAAGACATAAATTTTCATTTCTACTATGTCAACTTTTTGAGTATATTGAATTACAGTGAATAAGGCTAGTAGTAGTAGTTGTAGTAGTTCAATTACGTCGCACTAGAGCTGCACAAGGGCCTATTGGCGACTGTCTGGGAAACATCTCTGAGGATGATCCGAAGGCATGCCATCACAATTTTGATGCTCTGCATAGGGGATGGCACCCCCGCTTTGGTAGTCCGACGACCTGCACGCGAAGCCAAACACTTTACGGTAGAACAGTTTAACGAGAGCCAATAGCGCATACCCTCGGAATCTACGCAGACTAATCCAAGTTGCCACCCACCAACACACTGTCCGCAGCCAGTGATGCTTGACTTCGGTGATCTGGTGGGAACCGTGTCTTAACGATCAGTCCACTGCGGGACTGAATAAGGCTAGAGAATAAAATGAACTAAAATTATTGTTGTGGTAGTTGTAATTGTTGTTGTAATTGTGGTTTGAATTGTTGTCGTAGTTGAGTTGATTGCAGTTGAAGATTTCGGAATAATCTCTCCAGTTTTTATGAAATTAAAAAAACAAATTAACTGACTTGTATTATTCAGTGCATATTCCCTGAACCGGAGAATAATTAAAAGTATAAAAGTGTATTAATAGCACTTGAAGCATAGTAAGTATTTGAATAATTTTACCTTTGAGAGTTCCGTTTGGTTTAAAAGTTACGCGTTTAATGAAATGATACTTCAACAATTTAAAACATTCGTAGTAATCCAAATTTATTTCAATTCACTAAAACATATTCTTAACATATTTGGTCTCTTAATTATTTTCAGAGACAAAATTTAAACCCCTTATCGGGAACAAAACTTTTGATGATCAAATTAATATGATGAAATCCGATACTATAATTTTTAATGCTCTTCAACTTACAAAGATTGACTCTGGGAACCTGGTAGTTTGTGGGATGTTTGCTTTGCTCTTCATTCATGAGGGGTCCTAGGGGAGGTCACGTGATGAATATGTCTGCTTTTCGGTCTTTCCGCACCACAGAGTACGGCGCATCTCAGGGGACCTGTAGCACGTCCACTCAAGCCACGCGTCAATTTCCATCCCCCTCATCCCCCATCTAATACCTTTATGTTGAGGGGGTGGAAAATCATAGTCATCATTAATGCCAAAGCGCAATTTGAAACTAGATTTCAATCAACACTCTTACTTTAGACTGAGGGTCCGTTCTTATAAAAGCAATTTTAATTTGTAGA